ACATAGATCTTGAGGCTGGATGTTATCTCTAGGGGAGAAAGCCAGGAGGTCCAAACTGCATGATCAGTGATTTACTAAAGATTAAAGCATCATCCTGGAGGTGACGCTTTAAACTTTAGTAAAGATTGATTGTCCATTGCTAGGCACCTGGGGCTTTCCACCCTAATGGCCTTCTGTACCTGGCCCAGCATCTATGCTCTGCTCATGTCTGTCTAACTGCCTACAACAATAAGAGCAACATTAAAAAATGTTTAAAGATATGGTTTATCTGTGACTAAAAATCAGAAAAGGGCAAAATGACTAAATTGAATTATTGTGTGTCTGAATGTCATGTTGATTAGCTGGTGAAATTTGGATTAGCAATAACGATATGCACAATCTGTCATTATTTTTTTTGACCTTCATCTCAGCAAAAGCATTATATTGTTAACATTGAGATTTTCACATAATTTGAACTCTGTTGAGAGTAGTGATCTGAAGTAAATGTGACCTAAGTAAAATGTAATTGTGTTCAAGGAGTTCAAAATTTGAATGTTTGCATAACGAATTGAAAGGGGGGAAAAAGAATGTTGATGCTTGTAAGTACTGGACATGCTCTTTCATTATATGAGAATGTAAACACTAATGACACATGAGAGAACGAATTCAACAAATTAATTCATTTGTCTTTTCTCTTACCTAAGCACTCCCACTGCTCAAATCCTCGCCGTTCACATCCTCCCCGCATGCTGAAGCAGTGTCTGTCCCTGATAACAGCAATGACACAGCTCGAAAACCTTCGTAGCGTTTGGATAGTCACCTTTTCTTTTGATGGTATTGACCAAGAGATGTGAAGTTATTTCCCTGAGGAACCAGTGCTGTTAAGACAGTAGATGTTTAGAGCTATGGTGTGCTGTGCGACACTGAGGTCTGGATTATGAGTAACAGAGGCACCTGTGTGGTCTTCATCTCATCTCTTTATGGGAGGGAGGGTTGTGATATGTGGAGCTCTCAAAAATGTGGGGCCTGGAGCAGGGCTCTCAAGGAAACTTTCTGGGTTGATGGGAATGTTCTATATCTTGATCTCTGTGATGGTTACATCCTTGTAGATATTTGTTAAAATTCATGAAACTGTACCCTTAAGATCTGTGCATTGTACTACGTATAAATTATACTTCAGTAAAGTCCTGTTATCATTAAAAAATAAAGACTTTCAGAGAATGCATTTGTCTATGTGAATTAAAAGGGGTAACCACTATATGATTCCATCACTCTAACACAACTATTCCATGTATTCCTTTTTCATATGCCTGCATGCATGAACATAAACACACCACATGCTTTCTTCTTTGTTTAATGTAGCTGCAATCCCACCACACGTATGATTTTTATATCCTTGATATTATACTTTAAATATTTTCTGAGGACATAGTGCACATAATTATTCAGTGGTCTTTGACTAATGATGTTTGACCTGATGATTTTTTTACTTTAAGATAGTCATTTTCTGAGGGCAGCATTATCTGGATACCAAAACTAGATAAAGACATTACAAAAAAAGAAAATTACAGGGCAATATCCTTGATGAACATGGATGCAAAAATTCTCAACAACATATTAACAAACTGGATTCAACAATACATTTAAAAGTTTAGACACCATGACCAAATGATTCATCTCAGGAATGTAAAGATGGTTCAATATTCATAAATCAATCAATATAACATATCACATTAACAAAATAAAGAAAAAAACCCATATGATCATAATAAAAACCAGTAGATGCAGAAAAGCATTTGACAAAATTCAATATCCCTTTATGATAAAAACTCTCAACAAAATGTATATAAAAGGAACATATCTTAACATAGTAAAGGCCATATTTGAAAAACCCATAGCTAATATCATACTCAATGGTGAAAAGCTAAACGCCTTTCCTCCAAGATTAGGAATAAGATAAAGATGATTACTATCACCACCTCTATTCAACATAGTACTGGAAGCCCTAGCCACAATTATCAGGTAAGACAAAGAAATAAAAGACATCAAAACTGGGAAGGAAGAAGCAAAACTATCATTATTTGCAGATGACATGACACCAACTATAGAAAACCCTAAAGGCACCACCAAAAAACTATTAGACCTAGAGGGTATTATGTGAAGTCAAGTAAGTCAGATAGAGAAAGATAAATATGTATGGACTCACTTATATGTGGAATCTAAAATAAAAACCCAAATAAATAAACCAAACAAAACAGAATCATAAACACAGAAAACAAGTTGATACCCTGTTTCCCCGAAAATAAGACAGGTTGTAATATTAATTTTTGTAGTCATATTAATTTTCCCCCCCAAAGTTGCACTAGGTCTTATTTTCAGGGGATATCTTATCTTTCCATGCGCTAGGTCTTATTTTCGGAGGATGTTTTATTTTCGGGCAAACACGGGTAGTTACCAAAGGGGAAGGGACAGAAAAAAATGAGATGGGCATGTACAGGATAGGGAATATAGTCAATAATATTGCAATAATCTTTTAAATGATGAAAGATGATTACTAGATATACCTCACTTTGTTAGGTATATTAATCCTATTATAAAAGGCTAATATGCAAATTGTCCTGGGAGTTTGACTGGGAGACTAGGAGTTCTATTGCTTGCTATGTCATGCGCTGACCACCAGGGGGCAGTGTGGAACATGGAGGGCGATCAGCGAGCACTGAGGGAGTGAGAAAACAAGGAGGTGGGGAACCTGATCAGCCCTGATCACTGGCCAGGCCTAGGGACCCTACCTGTGTATGAGTTTTGTGCACCGGGCCTCTAGTCTTGAATAACTATGTTGTGTATTTGAAACGAACATAATAATGTATGTTAACTATGTTTTAATGAAAACAAAAATAAGTAAAAAACAAAATGGGGCAAGGGATGGTTGTCCTACTCAGTTCTATTGTCCCCTTCACATCTTACTTCTTTAATTTAAAGTGTTTAATATAAAGCACGCCTTATATATTGAGGTGTGACAATAATAAATTGCATTTATGATCTTAGTTTTCTCTGAGGTAATTGCCTCTTAAATATGTTCCCTCATGTATGAAAAAATAATAATCTGTCTCTAGTTTTGAGTAGATTACTGGGCAATTGTTTTCTGTAGCTAAATACTCTTTAGCTACACAACCCCTGTTTGTGCTTAAATTCTTTATGTGGTTGTAATACTTCAATTGTGTTTGAAACAGGTGAGAGAATTGTATAATGAACCTCCATGGACCCATCAACCAGCTTCAGTGATTATTCATAGCTTGTCAGTCTGCTTTCTTCTCTCCTGCTCCCTGCACATTTTTTGGCAGAGAGGAATGCTGGAGTACTTTTAAGCAGGTCTCAGACTTCATATACTTTCTCTGTTAAATACTTTACTTAGTGTGTCTAACAGAGAAGGCCCTCCCTTTGTGTAAATTATAACGGCATGCCATTATTGCACCCACAGAATTAATAGTAATGTAGGAGTTCCTTGAATTTTTGGTGAATTCAGAGTAGAAAGAGTATTGGGCTGAAGGAACTCTGGCCTGAGTTTATCCTCTTTCCTTCCCCCCTCGCTCCCCCCAAAAAAGAGATGTAGAAGTCATTGAGGAAGGGTCTTTGGATTTAAACTGGCACTTGCCCAATCCCTTATATGACTTTCAGAAAGCAATTATGGGAAAGACGTGTCCAGAGCAATGCATATAGCCAGCATTTACTGAATTACTACTGTGTACACCTCCATATGCAACATCTCCTTCAACCTTCACACCAAAGCTGAGAAGTAGAAACCATGGCTCTGGGAGGAGCTTCCCAATTATAACCTCTGATTGGCCAACATTAGAATATCACAGACTGCAGATGAATTAATAGGAGATTCCTGTTTAGTGTTAGTGCACAGGCTACTTGGTTTGTGCCGTAATCTAATAAAATGTTTAACTGTGGTAGAAATAATAACCAGTTCATTCTTTGAGATTCCCTGGAAACAATTACATGAGGATAATAATATCTCAGGAAGAGAGAACATGAAAATGACTTTTGCTTCCCATCCCAGACTAAGGGATTCCGCTGAATCTTCCCCTGTCTCTATTCCCCCTTTCCCTAATGGATAGAATGCGAATTATAGGGCTAGAGGACATTTGTAGATTTGAATTTTTGTCTTGGAAATCTATAACCTTTTATTCAGTAAGGATCATCTTTAAATAGCAAAATAAAAAAGTGCTTCCTTAAACATGTTTGGTTATGGGAAGAGCCCCCTTGAAGTATTCCAGAAAGAAAGAAAAAAAATGGAGGCAAATGTAAGGGAGGCAAAAAGGAAGGGAGGGAGGGAGGGAGGAAAAAAAGATCAATAAACCTTCATAAATTTAGACTGATTTTATGACTCAGCTTGAGATGAACTCTGGTAATTTAAGTTGTGTTCAAAATATCCTTCTGGCCCTAACTGGTTTGGCTTAGTGGATAAAGCATCAGCCTGTGGACTGAAAGGTTCCAGGTTTGATTCTGATCAAGGGCATGTACCTTGGTTTTGAGCTTGATCCCCAGTAGGTGTCATGCAGGAGGCGGCTGATCAAAGTTCCTAACTCTCTATCCCTCTCCCTTCCTCTCTGTATAATCAATAAAATATATATTTTTAAAAATATCCTTCTTCAGACTCAAAGGAGTAAGCAGACACATAAGTTCCTCCCTTAGTAATGAGACCATTAGCAGGTTAACTGTGAAGCTGCTGAAGCTTAAACTTCAGGGCCCCATCCTTACACTGATCCCTCCCAAAACCTTCGGAGAAGCTCTAGAAAGAGGTTCCTGTGCTCATGTGTATCAGCTTCAAACCACTCAAACCCAGACCCATGCATGCATCTCAGGAAGAGAGTTTTCAGGAGAATCATGTGTTCATAACCAACTCTTGATTCTTGATAAGTCCCACATTTCCCTAGTAGTAGAGTTTTCTTCCTTATACTGTAATTTCTCTTTGTAATTTGCAAGGATTTAACCTAATTTGTATTTCATTTATGCAGATGAAATTATGCAGCAGGAAATCAGGCCCTTGTTGGCAGTGGATATAATTGAACAACTTCACAGACAATTTGCCATTCTTTCAGGTAAGGGGCTAATTCATGTGTATTTCTAGGTTTTATTGGGGGTCCTGCTCAGAGGGCCCAACCTCTTGAATCTTGGTGAACATTATACTCGAATCTCAGTCATCCCTTAAGCCTCACCCAGAATGGAAGGAACGAGGGACCATCCAGCTGCATTGGGAGTGGAGGGTGAATCTCATGGATGCCATTCCTTTAGCTGTTGGGTTTAATTTCATCTTTCTTGAGGGAGTACATTTCTTTGAGGTTGTAAAAGAACAGAGTTGAAAAGATTTTGAAGAAGAAAAAGAAATACTGACAATAGCTGCCACCATGATGTTCTTCTAAGATCCAACCTTAAGAGAGTCTTGATTTTAAGGGTTCATGAATATTGCTGAGGTTGTTTGTTCTCTGAGAGATTTGTCTTGTATCCTTAGCTCCTAGAACCTAATTTTAATATGTTGTTGTTCTTTTTATTAAGCATTTGATTGTGAATAGAGAGAGGATAGTATTGATAAAAGACTAGAAATTTTCTGAGCCTGGGCACAGAAAAGTTTTCATTACTAGATTATTATTCTTTCTTATTCACTTAGTGAAGGGTGATATGACATTAATTACTGAAACTAGAAGTACATGCCAAACCCTAAAATATAGTTAGACCAAAGTTGGAAGTATAGGATAGTGAGATTAGGTGTCCTTAACACATATCTAGAGGAATAAGGTAACAAGTCATTATCCTACTATCCTTATCTTTTAAAAAATATATATTTTATTGATTTCAGAGAGGAAGGGAGAGGGAGAAAGAGAGGAAACATTAGTGATTAGAGACAATCATTGATTGGCTTCCTCCTGCATGCCCCCCCACTGCGGATGGAGCCCACAACCTGGTCATGTGCCCTGACTGGGAATCGAACTGTGACCTTCTGGTTCATAGGTTGACACTCAACCACTGAGCCACACCAGTCGGGCACTACCCTTATCTTTTATAGCTCCTCTGAAAAAAGCAACAAAGCCATCTTTAGTTACATTGTAGAGAGAATATGTAGTTAGTGTGGATTTTACTCTACAACATGGGATATAAAAAAAAGTCACATTTCTTTCTTTTCTAAATTATATTTAATCTGCTCTAAACTCATTCTACTGAGTTCAAGGGAAATTTAAACTTTGTTTTTCAGGTATATTTCCTACCCCAGCGTAGTATCCTAGGTGGGAACATCTTATACAATCCAGAATACCTGGTGAATTATCTGGTCTTTCCTCCACATTGGTCACTGCTCACATAGTCACTGGAGCTACGTAAGTGCAGGGTGTTCATGTTTCTTATTTCTGCCTTCTTCACCAGTGCTTCGGACAGAGTCTGAAACATAATAAAATTATCCAAGTCCTCCTAGTCTGTCCTATGAAGCCAGACTGTCTGATCATTGAATCCTCACTCTAGGCACCACAGTCTTGGCCCTGGAGGGAGTGCCCAACCACCCTCCTGAGGGAGCCCTCTCATAGCTTCCCACGGGGAGCCTAGGATTGTGCAGAACCAAAGGCAGGATGGGAACTGTCTCTGGGTGCTGGGGTTCTTGTCCCAGTATTAAGAGGGGTTCAGCAATGTGGAGAAAGGCTATGTGTAGATCAAATAGGAGTCCAGAGATGAAAGATAGTTTTGAGAGGCATTGGGGGTCAGAGGAGCTTCAGTTAACAGAGCTAAAGCCTTCCCTTGACTCAGGACCCCGTGCTTTTTATTAACACAAATTGTCCCAAAGCAAGGTGGAGATATACACTTCAAAGGGTAGGGTACAGAAGCATTGTCAGATTGGGGAATGGCCTACAGCTGTTCAGGTATTTGGCCAACAGGAGACAATAACATGTAGATTAAGATGCCCTGAGCTGTCTGGCAGCAGACAATCATCCTATTCAGGTTTGGGGGAAGTGCCTTCTAGCCACTCCAACAGGTAATTACATATGTGACCCAGCCCTTGTTGAGTTCCCAAGTTTCATCAACCTTGTGATAAAACTCTTGTAATTAGAACATGCTAGAATTGGCTCCCTGCATCCGGGTTTCTGGCAACTGCTGCTGTGGCCCTGCACCAAGAAGGCCCCTCGGCCACCAGTGTGCATCAAGGTCTGGAATGGATGATGGGGAGGAGCAGGGTGGATTCCTACAGTTTTCCACCCAAACTCTAAAGCCTCTGTAAATCTTTTCTAATAAAGAGAGAATATGTTACTCAACTCTCATGCCGTCGCCAAGATGACGACACCCACAGCCAATAAGGAGGAATATGCTGATCGACTGCCCTGCCCTCAAAGATGGCAGTGCCCAAAGCCATAAGATGGCAGTGCCCAGTCCCCTCAGCCCCCCAGCCATCCAGGGCCATTGGAGGCTCAAGTAATCAGGGCTGGCCGAGGCTTGTGCTGTCGGCAGTGGCAGCAGCAGAGGTGTTATGAGGCATCACCTACCCCTGATTGCCGGGTCGCCTCCTGCCCCTGAGGGCTCCCGGACTGTGAGAGGGGTCAGGCCAGGCTGAGGGAAACGCCTCCTCCAGTGCATGCATTTTCATGCACTGGGCCCCTAGTGAGTATATAATTAGACAATAGCTCATCTGGGGATGGAGCCCAGAGAATGAGTAACTTATATGTTTAATGATCCAAAGTGATCTCTTTTGGGTATTATTGAGGCATTTCTTTCTTTTCTTATTTCTTAGAGGCAGAATATGGCTACCCAGTAGCCCTAAATAAAATTCTGCTACTGTCTATCTGTATCACCTTGGGCAATTTTCTTCTCAAGGCCTCTATTTCCTCTTTTGAATAATGAATGAATCATTGAAATTTTGAGGATGAAATTACATAATTTATGAAAAATGCTTACTATTGCATGTTCCAAATACATGTTTGACCTTTTTATTAATGATATATTTTAATCCCATAGCAATGTTTACTTTAGTATTACTAAATGTTTAATTTATTATTATATATATTACAAAAAATTGAATCAACAAAAACAGAAATCAGATGAGCAAAAGGAAGAAGGTGGTTAAAAGGTACAAACTCATAAATTCTGGAGATATAATGTACAGCATGGTGACTAATTAACAATCCTGTACTGTATGTTTGAAAATTGCTAAAAGAGTAGATCTTAAAGTCTCACCACAAGGAAAACAGTTGTAACTATGTGAGGTTATGGATGTAACTAAACTTTTTGTGGTGACCATTTTGTAATATATACATATATCAAATTATTATGTTGTACACCTTACACTAATACAGTGTTGTCAATTATATCTCAATAAATTGGGGGGGGAAACATAAAAAACCCTTGTGATGATATGTAAAGCAGAATTAGAGTCTAGGATAAGATCACTATCAATGGTTTTTTCACTTACATTGAGATTCTAGGAAGACATTCAGAAATCACACAGGGTATGGGACAGTTCTTGATTACGCAGGACAGATCATTTAGTATCCTAGGCCCCGAGATTTCCAAAGTGGCTCCCAGAGAGTGGGGTGGCCATTTTTTCCAGTTAAAATCTTTTGGGAAAGAGAAAGGAAAAATAGATATTTGAAGGCAAAGAGCGGTAACTGCCTCCGAGTCTCTCCCATTGTTGACCTTCAACGTCTTTCACAGGATTTGCCCGCATTCCAAATTCTCTTCTGTATGATGAAGTCTTTGTGCCATTTAACAAACAGGTAAAATTCATACTAGGAGGAGTGAAGTTTATTTTATTCAAGTAACCATTTTACTCAGTTCCAAGGCGTTTGGTTTTCTTCTCTTCCTTGAAGGGGACTTTGGCATTTCCACGTTTCCTCACCAGGTGGCACTGAATGCTTTGCTGTGAGTGTCCACGCTGCAGGGAGGCTCAGCTTTGTTTCCTTAGTGCTTCTGTCTGTTAAGACTAATAATATTCAACAGCAGGAGGTGTCCTCAGGTGACCTGGGGAGGCCTCTCTTCTCTGGTGTTCAGTGTTGCTGTTAACCAGTCTATAAGAAAACTCCACCTACCTTTCTCCATTTAGGTGTGAATAGCTTTAATTCATAATTAACGATAAAAAGTGAAGTCATGCCAAAGCCTGTTTGGTTCACTGGATAGAGCGTCAGCCTGCAGACTGAAGGGTCCCGGGTTCGATTCCTGTCAAGGGCATGTACCTTGGTTGCAGGCACATCCTTGCATTGGGGGGCATGCAAGAGGCAGCTGGTTGATGACTCTCTCTCATCTATGTTTCTAACTATCTCTCTCCCTCTCTGTAAAAAATGAATAATAATAATAAAAAAAAGTGACTTCATTTAATGACTTTACTTTTTAGTTCCCTGGAATGTTTTAGCCATTCTTGGGGTAAATATTGGTTATACAGTTCATACAGAGTTATAATGCACCTAAATTTAGCTTTCCTAGAAATGCAAATTCTCTTAACTTAGGTTTCTCTGGTACCTCTTTTGATTGTGAAACTGCAAAGAGGAAGAATGTTAGGTGAAAGCTGATACTACCCTGATCTAAATTATTTTCAGTCACCGTAAAGAGGTAGCTCACTCTCCTTGTCAAAGCTTGATATTTTGTGTAAGCTTTCAGGATTAAAAAAGAGGGACTTCCTGGAGAAGAATGACTAGCCATCCAGACAAATCTCACACGTTTCATTCACTATTGATGTATCTCTGACAACCCAAGACTCACTCACAGAAACAACACTCACAGGAGACTTGTGTAACCACATTGCTGACTTTCTCTTTATGTGATATAAATAGTCATGTTTGCTCAATAGCACATTCTCTCCCTTGGAGCAGATTTACATGGAATGTTAGAGCGTAAGCAGAAGATGCTTATCAGGCGTGGACTCAGGGCAGCAGGTGGGTTCATGTGATGGTGGAGCCGTGATATAGTTTCCCCCCTTGTTTCTCTTAGCCTCTCAATTTCTGTAATTTCTTCATTGATCCCTCACCCACGTTAATCTCACAGTCCTCACTCACCACACCCTGCGCTGATACCTGTTTCTTAGAATGTGAAATACATGCGATCATGTATAGCAGTTGGCTATGCTTGGGAACCATTATTCCTCTTAATGGGAGCCATTAATTCCCCCTCCACGGGCTTAGCCTGGCAGGCGCTCACCGCTCACCCCTGTGGCTGGGGCACAGATCAGTAATTTTTTGTTTGTTTTTTTGTTCGAACAAGTAACTCAGCAAAATAAAATTCCCATTTATTGTTGGACAACATTGTTTCACACATACATCAAATAGGCCAAAAAAGGCCAAAAAGAGCAACTTCATTTAAAAAAAAAAGTGTGTGTGGGGAAATGAAACCTTTTTATCTTTGGTTTTTTTAACCATCTCATACAAAGCAACTACTTATGGTACAGCTAAGTACATACACAAAAAGTTACTGGAATGCTCAGAATAAGATTGGTGTGTTTTTTGTTTTGTTTTTGGTTTTGCTTTTTAAAAAAGTTTTTCCCCCCTCCTTTGAGATTATAATGAACATGGTCACACCACAAGTTAAGTCAGAAGTGGGACAGAGAATGCTCCAAAGGCTGGTTTGGTCATACCAAGATCATTAAAAATGGCTGATCCCTACCAATATGTACAAAAATATAAAATGTAAATAAAAAATACAAACAAATGTTCCTTTATAAAATACTTTTAAGAAAAGAAGTAGGGCCTTGGAAGTTTTTGGTTCTTTTCTCCTCCTCTGTTGCAAATTCACGTTGTGGTTTTGGTTGGGTGGTGGTGGGTACCTGCTGTCTGCAGGTGGCAGCGCTCCAGGTGGGTGGATGGGCAGGCCGAGGGACTCTCTCCGAAGGTGACTAGATTCTGAAACGGTAAGTGGAAGGTGAATAGATCACGAAGGCCTTTTTTATGTCTGACTTTTCCTCTTTTGCTGTCTAGTCAGCCTCATCCTCATCGGTCTTCTGCTTCTTGGTGTCAACATCATCATCCTCATCATCCTCAGCTGCCCATTTGCCCGTGGCTGCCTCAGCCTCCTCATCTTTATCTTCATCCCTTTCCTTGCCATCACCTTCCTCTTCCTCGTCCTCCTCCCTTCTCTCTTCCTCTTCTTCATCTACCTCATGGTCAACCTCTTGCTCCCCATGTTCTTCATTAGCGTTCCCATTCACAGGTGCATCCCTTCCATTCTCTGCCTTGATGGTGATCTTGGAGCTGGTGTCCTCAGCCGTGTCTGACATGTAGGTCACAATGGTGATCCAATGCAGCGGATTTTTTTATAAAGCGAGAGATGGAAGACTCTGGGAAAGAGAGAGGCAGCCACAGGAGCAATGCAAAGATGGCTTTTCAGAGCAGCCAGTCTCAGGAATTTTTTACAGCCCTTTTTGTCCAAAACCAATACCAAACAGTTAAAATAACCAAGTCTACACGTTTTAACAACTCAATAGCTGTCTGAAAAAAAATTATAAATACTAAGAAGTTCATTCTTTGGTAACTACAGTGATCTCAAACCTTCTAATCAAGCTAGACATCACTGGCCTCCCTTCCTGTTCTACACTCACTTTCATCCTGCACTTGCTTTTATCCCAGCAGCCATCTCAAACCCACCTCCACAAAGATACAATGCTATTCAAAAGAATTTAGTGTGATTTCCTATTGAAACTGTGAACTACCTCAAGCTAATATCGTGCAGAGCGGGTGACAGATGCCAACTATTGTTTTTCCCCTAAAAATTTAAAATATTCGTGGTGCCTCTGTGAGTTCCCTGAGTACCTGACACACAGTTAGGAACCATGAAGCTAGAATTTAGCCATGTGGCTACATCTAGTTGCTCGGAGATGGGGAAATCTATTCAATTTAACCTGGTAGCCTGTGCTCCATTGAGCTAAATATTTAAATGTTAATTGTACATTTTTATTTTCACATGGATGTCTTATATTTCTGTTTATAAATTATCAAAGTGCTGGCAGCTTATTGTGGCTTCATTAATAGTAATAACCATAATGGTCACTATTTAGTGAGTATCTATATGCAACAAGCACTCTGCTAAGGTGCTTTTCTTATGTTTTCACTTAATTCTCACAACACCTTTTGAGGTAGGTACGAGTATTATATATATATATTATATATGTAATACTCGTACCTACCTCAAAAGGTGTTGTGAGAATATATATATTATATATATAATATATATATAATAAATATATATATATATATATATATATATATATATATATATATATATATATATTGCCTACGTAGGTTAAGTGTCTTGCCTAAAATCACATAGAAATTAAGTGGCCAAGTAAGATTTCAACCAGGTTACTGATTTTAGAGTTAACTCTCTTAACTACCATTTTAACTTTTTAACTTAGTGACTACAAAAATGAACCGAAGTATTATGTATTTGTGTTGGCTTTCTTTACTATTCTACCTATGTTAAATAATTAAATCAATATTACCTTTCACACAGTAATTGTCTTCAAAGGATTCAAAAATCAAATTCTCACAATACCACTGAGCAAGCATGAAGGGCTTGTTTAAAATAGTTCAGTGTCAGACTTCCCACAATCTATTCTGAGGAAATATAGATAGAAAAGGAGAAGCCAATACACATCTCCTGACTTGATATTAGTCAGAATATTTTATCTGCAGGGGCATGACATGAAAACATTGTACTGACATCTTGACCACCCACTTTTGTTGCAGGAGGCCGAGGGAATGATGGTGCCCCAATCATCACTTTTCCAGAGTTTGTGGGCTTCAAACACATCTCAGATGAGGACTTTCTGAATGTCATGACCTACCTGACTAGTATCCCCAGGTGAGCTGGACACAGTGGTCTGTTGCCTTCGAGTCACTGGCTTTATTCCACCATTCCCCATGTGGCAGGGCTGGGTTGAGATGGAATCTTCCATGAGCACAGCTCACACTGGTATGTTGGGTGGCCCATTTCTCTTATGCATCAGTCACAGACAAGGGATGTGGAATGAGACTAGAAAACAATGATAAGTTAGTGTCAGTTCTGTTCATACAGTGCACAAAGGAGGTACTTAATAAACATTGTTGAATGAATGAAATATTGATGGAATAGCCCTGGCTGGTGTGGCTCGATTGGTTGACCATTGTCCCATGCACCAAGAGGTCGCTGGTTCGATTCCCAGTCAGGGCATATGCCCAGCTTGCAGGCTTGATTCCCAGTAGAGTAGGGGGCATGCAGGAGGTAGCCAATAGATGATTTTCTCTCATCAGTGTTTCTCTCTCTTTCTCCCTCTCCCTTTTTCCTCTCTCAAATCAATAAAAACATTACAAAAATAAAAGTATTGATGGAACCGCTGAAGCTATTTTAGTTCCTTCAGGTTCATTGCTCTAGATTAAGTTGATTCTGGCTTCCTGAGTCCTGTTATCTGGGATACATGGCCATTGCTCAAGGAGCTCAAGTCATGTTAGAAGTTATTTCATTTATCTCCACTAAATAAGGAATTTGGGGGCAAATTTTATTTTATTTATTTATTTTTTATTAAATTATTATCTGTGTACTATCTTACCATCCCCCCTCCATTCATACCCTCCCTCCCCAGAGTTTTGTGTCCATTGGTTGTACTTATATGCATGTATACAAGTCCTTCGGTTGATCTATTATCTCCCCCAGATCTCCCTCCCCTCCCCGCTGTAATTTGACAGTCTGCTTGTTGCTTTACTGTCTCTATATCTATCTTTTGGTTCATCAGTTTATATTGTTCTTTATTATCCATAAATGAGTGAGGTCATGTGGTGTTTCTCTTTCTGACTTATTTCACTCAGCATGATGTTCTCCAATTCCATCCAGGTTGCTGCAAATGATGAGAATTCCTTCTTTTTTATGGCAGCATAGTACTCTATTGTGTAGATGTACCATAGTTTTTGGATCCAATCATCTGTTGATGGGCACCTAGGCTGTTTCCAAATTCTAGCGATTGTAGATTGTGCTGCTATGAGCATAGGGGTGCATATATCCTTTCCAATTGGTGTTTCTAGTTTCTTGGGATATATTCCTAGGAGAGGGATTACTGAGTCAAATGGGAGTTCCATTTTCAGTTTTTTGAGGAAACCACACTGTTCTCCACAGTGGTTGCACCAGTCTGCATTCCCACCAGCAGTGCACGAGGGTTCCTTTTTCTCCACAACCTCGCCAACACTTGTCGTTTGTTGATTTGTTGATGTTGGCCATTCTGACAGGTGTGAGATGATACCGCATTGTTGTTTTGATTTGCATCTCTCGGATAATTAGTGACTTTGAGCATGTTTTCATGTGCCTTTTGGCCTTCCTTCTGTCTTCTTTTGAAAATATTCTATTTAGGTCCATTGCCCATTTTTTAATTGGATCATTCATCTTCCTTTTATTTAGTTGTATAAGCTGTCTGTAGATGCTGGAGATTAAACCTTTATCAGTGATAACATTTGGAAATATGTTCTCCCATACAGTGGGCTTTCTTGTTGTTGTGTTGATAGTTTCTTTTGCTGTAAAAAAGCTTTTTACTTTGATGTAGTCCCATTTGTTTATTTTCTCTTTAGCTTCCATTGCCCTAGGGGCAGTATCAGTGAAGAAGTTCTTTTGGCATACCATATTTTGTATGTCTGAGATTTTGCTGCCTGTGGATGCCTCTAGTATTATTATGGTTTTCCGTCTTATGTTTAAGTCCTGTATCCTTTTTGAAGGGGCAAATTTTGTATTTGCAATCATCAGATGGAGAAACTGAGGCATGCAGCAAAGACATAGAAAGGCCAGGAATAAAAACTGTTATAGCAGAGACCATGGCAGAGATGTTTTGGGGCATCTGCTACTTCCACCCTTTGCGACCCACATCACACTTTTTTTTTTTTTTCCTTAAGTAGCAGAAATTTATTATCTCATTGTTCTGGAAGCTGGAAGTCCAAAATCAAGGAGTTGGTAAGGTTGGTTCCTTCTGAGGGCTGTGAGAGAAGAATCTGTCCCAGGCTTGTCTTCTTGGCTTGCAGATGGCTTCTACTTTTGTCTCTTCGCTTTGCCATCCTTCTTTGTGTGCCCATGTGTCCAAATACCCCCTTTTTACAAGGACATCAGTCTTCCTAGATCAGGGCCCACCCCAATGACTTCATGTTAACTTGATGAGCCCTATAAAGACCCTATCTCCAAATAAGGTCACATTTTGAGGCACTGTCAGAAACACAACTTAGTCCACAATAGGAACATAGCAGGTCTCACATCTTTATGCCAAGTGAGTTAATCTACCTCCCAAGGGACAGAGTGTGGGACAGAGTTCATATTGCTAACAATAATTTTACAGGCAGAGATAGGGCTGGGAATTCTTAGATAATGCTGTGTCTATTCCCCAGAAGAGCAGACTGGCCCCACTCTCCATGGGTTTGTGTAGTTTATGATATAATCTCTTAACTGCTGTGTGGTTTGGAATTTAGACAACAGTTCGTTCTCTCTCTCTCTCTCTCTCTCTCTCTCTCTCTCTCTCTCTCCCTCCCTCCCTCCCTCCTTCCCTCTCTCTCTCTCTCCTCGGCCCTTCTGCCCTCCCTTTCTTTATGTGTGTGTGCTATTGCACTTACTTTCCATCTGCTGCCTGAGATTTAGAGGTCAATGCCTGCTTTGTGATTGAAAGGCCACCAGAGATTAGGAAGTTACTTAGTTTGCTTTAACCAAATCTACTCCAAAGATGATTTTTTTTTTTTTTACCCTTCTTACTTTTTTTTTTTTTAAATATATTTTATTGATTTTACACAGAGAGGAATTGAGAGGGATAGATAGTTAGAAACATCGATGAGAGAGAAAGATCGACCAGCTGCCTCTTGCACACCCTCCACTGGGGATATGCCCGCAAACAATGTACATGCCCTTGACCAGAATCGAACCCGGGACCTTTCAGTCTGCAGGCCGACGCTCTATCCACTGAGCCAAACCGGTCTCAGCTACCTTTCTCACTTTTTGAGAGAAGGCTATGGGTTTATTTTTAATGCACTTCTTTGAAGTTCATTACTTAAATTTTATTTCACCATTTCTCTCCATTTCCTCCTCCCATCCCCACATATGGTGTCTATTAGGACACAGCTTGGCTGGTGCTGCTCTCTCTATATAGGAATGCCTTTCCCATCCTTCTAGGACTGGCTTAACTCTTACACATTCGTCAATCCTCAGTCTGATGTCATTTCTTCAAGGAAACCTTCCCTGACCCCAACCCTGCTCATCCAGACTTTTTTTCCCCACAGAACCCAAAGATTACCCCTTGTAAATACCATAATGGATGGAAATGATTTCTACCTCTTCCATTAGACTGTGAACTACTCCACTAAATAAGGAATTTAGTTGGGAGGGGGGCGATGTTACTCCTCCCCTCCCTTCCCCTCCCCTCCCCTCCTCTTCCCTCTCCTCTCCTCTGCTCTCTCTTTTTTTAATCTCCAGCCCTAGCATAGTGCCCAGGAAGTTATGTTGGTATAGGTTCTCAAGAAGTTATGTTGGTCAAATTTCCAGTATGGTATGATTCATGCAATCTAAAAGTATTTTTATGGGGGCAAGAAAGTGGACACTGACAGAGAAAGAAGAACCCCATTCCTCACTCCTACATTGACCTCCCGGGTTTTAGGGAGTCGAACTTGTCTCCCTCCTTGGCTCAGCTGCATCCAAAACAATCACCCATCAGCTTAGTTCTTTCTCCTTCTGTGGGAACAGTAAAGAAGACAGTGAGCAGGGAGGTGAGCAGCAGGTAGACATGGCCCCCCCATTATATTTGTTTCAATCTCACTGTCTGATTTTACTGAATCCTTGGATGTAGTCATGTGCTAAATGAAATGGGTGACTTTTATTCTGTAGTTGCAGCCTTTTTGGAGTCACGTGAAGGACCGTACATTGAATGCTCTCTGAGCCAGGGTAGAGCGAAGCATTGAGGGGTAGAAAGCCTTATCTCACAGATGTAGAAGATAAGACAAAACAAGGGCCTACTTTTTGGCCCTGATTTCTTTGTTCTGCTCTGTGTTCCTTATATAATTGTTAGCAAACTTGGGAGTTTGTTGTTGTTGTTGTTGTTGTTGTTTTTTATTTTCTGGAATGTTGTTTATCCCTTGAGAAAGAGTGCCCCCTTGACCATTCATTCCCCTTTCCTCTTCCTAGCATTTGCTCAGACTGTCTCACGGCCTCACCCTTTGGTTTCAACATAAAACAGAGACATGGGAAAGCCTGAAAGGGGAATTTGACCTTGTTGTCCAGTTTCCATTTCAGGTTCCTATTTATCGAAATTCATAATTTCTTCAGTGTCACAATGGTTACCAGCCAGTCCTGCCCAGTTGAAAAATATTTATGGGCAGTTGGCAGAGAGTTTATGACACAAAACCAGGAAGAACTGGTATAGTCAAAGAAGAGAATGACAGGATATGTAGGAAAAGGAACAGTGTTCCGATATTACTTACATCTATTGCTTTCTTCTTCTCTACCTTATTCATTTCTCTCTTTATCTTTAATATTTTCCTTCTTGTACTTTCTTTCAGTTTGCTTAATTTTTGTCAGTTTTTTGAGTTGAAAATTATATTTTCATTTTTATTTTATTGATATATTTGATAAATGTTTAAGGTTATGAATTTTCTCCGATCTCTGCCTGTTTGTAATTGTTTAGAGAACTATGTTATAGTATGTGTGTTTTTTTTTTTTTTTTGCTTTAAGACTAATTTACTTATTTATTTTTTATTGATTATGGTATCACATAATTGTCCTCATCCCCCCATTCCCATCCCGACCCTTCCCTATATATGCCCCCCCTGTAGTCCATGGCCACTGGCTAGGCCCATATGTATGCACACAAGTCCTTT